TGAGGGCCGGAGCTGCTCCGCCACGGGCCTCTGCCAGCCGCGCGGGTTCCGGGGGGGCGGCTAGATCTTCCCTCGCTGCCCTTGCGTGCGGCCGCCGAACGGCCGCGGGGTTTGCAGGTCTGCAAAGCCGTGGGGGTGGGGAGCGGTCGCTTAAAGCTGGAAGAGAAAAATCGCGTGAGCGGTGTGGAAGTTCCTCAGGGGCGTTTTGCATAGGCGTAAGGTCTTGATAAGTTTTGGAAGCTTGCTTCTGCAGCGTGTGTTGTTCCTAAACGTTAATTTGCTGCCTTTTACGGGGCAGAATTGCTTGTTCAGATGAAGTACATGCAGCGGTGGTGAGTACAGAGAGCTGAGCGGATTTTATTGGTGGTTTTCAGTGACTTAGGAAATACCCTTGTCAGCTGAACTGCTTTAAAAGTACTGTTTGTATCACTGATAATCTCGAGACCTCTCGCAGCATTCTTGTCTTGCAGATGCTTAAATTTACTTTTGTTCCTGTATTACCTAACTTAAAATTTTGCGGTTATTTTGATGTTTTTAATGCAGGTTTTCAAACTGTGTTCTGTAGTTGATTGGTAGTACTGTGTGGTGTAACTCTGCAAAATATAAAGGGATTTTGGGGTTTTGGTGCAGTGATAAATACCAGCATCCTGAAGTTCCGGCAGAGCTGTTGGCTTGAGTTACTGGGAGGGTGCATTGCTAAATTGAGAATATGCCTCCAGATCAGTGTGACAGCGTGAATTGTAAAGCTCAGTTAGTCCATCGTCCTCGTTACAAACAAATAAAGCAGGGTGCTGAGTCTCAAAAAGACAGCATATGAAAGTTGTGTTGTTATTTATTACGTTACCGTAGGTGGAGAATTTCAACTAGGGTCCTATTGGAAAACATATTTCACAACTTGAAATTTAGGACTTGATTACAAATGATGAAAGTCATGGTTGTTATTTAATACAGGTTTTGTCCTTTGTCTTCTTTTTCAAAGAGGTAGACAACTGATGGAACGTTCTGCTAGGAAAACTGTTCTTACAAGGTAGTTTGCTCAGATTAGACTGAGATCCATACAAAAAAATCTGTCAATCAACAGTGACTGGGAACACTTGAGAACTCCTGAATGATTGATTGAGGTAACTCAGAAGAAACATTTATCTAAAAAGATGGTACGGGGCAGGGAGGACTTCTTACTACAAAAAGCTGTTAACTGTTTGGGTTGACATGAGGAAATGCAAGATCATGACAGTTTGATACTGTGCCCTAAACCAGTTTCTTTATTGCCAACGGTCTGTGATGAATCATTGCAGTTAATAGGTCTGTGGTAGGCAAGTGGGCATAAGAGGGGGAAAACAAGGAAAGAGAAGAAAAGGGGAAGGGAGTGCTGTCGTTTGGTGTCACAATCTTGCCACTCAACGGTAAGCTGTTTTCAGGGCAGCAAAGGATGAGAAAGGGGGGGGGGAAAGCCACTGAATTCTTACGGGGCAGACACAAATACCAGTAATATTTACAGGACTATGAAGTGGTTTGTGAAAATCTTGCAGGTGAAAAAGTGTATGGGGAATTTTGGGGCTGCTTAATTTTTTGTGTGTATATAGGAAAGATGGATGATGCCGGCTCTTTCACAGTGACATGGGGTGGTTTGTAGGATAGCAGCTGCTAGCAAGAGGGAGAAAGAAAGAGTAACAGAAAAGGAGAATTGTTCAACTTTATCCCTTGCAGATTGAGCGGTAGTTGTAAGGAGTGTTTGGAGGGTGCAGAAGTACAGATGTGAAAGCTTGACAGCTGTGTTTACATGTACAGTAAAACATAAAGACTGTGTCCTTCAGGGGAGGAACAGAAAATAGATTGTCTTCTAAGGGCTGGTCTGAACTCGATAAATTGGTACCATTTTATCAGTATTGTTCACCTGAAGAACATTTCTCTCTTGGATGCAATTACAACATTGATATTGGACGCTCATGTAGATAACCACTTTGCAGAGTAGGACAGTCTGAGTTGATAGAGGTGGCTTTTATCAACTAAAAAAAGCTGCATACAGAGGGCTTTTACCCTTAAAATAACAGCTTTTATCCTGGTGCCCCCTTTATAAGCAGCAGGAGTGACGACTGGTAAGACATCAAGGCTTCTCTAGATGTGTTTGAGGGTGGTGCTGTCTCATGTTACGCTGTTTACCTTCCCAGGGACTTTTCAGTGGTTACTGACAGTTAATTATAACTTAACCCCCCCTATTTTTGTGTTGTATTTTGTGAGTGAAACCTTTGCAGTTTTTTGCTTCTTTAAGATTTGGTCTAGTGCTTTTTTTCCCCTAAGCTTCTCCATTTCTATTTAGGCCTCGGAAGGAAAGCGTTAGGACTTTACATTTTGCAGTCAGTTCTGTTAAGCAGCTATGGAAATAGAAAAGGAGCACGTCTATGTTAACCCAACAGGTAAGTAATATATTCAATATTTTTTTTACTTAAAATTGCTTAGCTGACCTGAAGTGTTCTCTGTAGAAAAATTGTTACCTGTTAATTTTTTCAACAGTACTGCTTTAAAAAGTCTTTCATCAAAAATTTACAGAATAGTTCTTTCAAGTGTATGTCATAGTATCCTTCTTGATTACATTTATTTCAAAATTTGTTAAAATCGTAAAGTTAACATTTCTTTAACTTACTAAATAATAGTGACTCTGGACTCCTTACCATCTGACTTCCAGTAGTGTTGGTGAAGAAAAGAGCAAGTTCAAAAGTAAGATGTGTAGGTGCGTTTGAGAGGTACAACTTCTGGGTTTATGGAGCTGTTTAGCTTAAAATTAGAGGAAGCAAATGATGAAGGGCTTGACTGGAAGTGAGCTGGCATGGGAGAACTTTACTGAATACATGTTAGAGACTGCCCTGAAATTGACTGTTTTGTCCATATCATGAACATGTTTTATGATGCTCTGTCAAGTTAACACAGTTTCATGTTGTTTTCTGAGTCTTCCATAGGTTGTGATGGTCTGCACTGACCTTTTTCTACCAAAGATTTTTTTGTAGGTTTTAAAAGTTTTTCAGAAAAATACCATATCTATGTTAGGATGGTATGTAATGCAGTTGAAGTGGCAACATGCTCCATATGACCTCTTATTTTAAACTAGAATCAGTTTAATGTAGAAGACATGTTGCTTTTCAGCATTTTAGAATTGTATTTGGATAATAGGTGGGAAACTGCTAGGTATCTAACTTGACCTAAAGTGGTCAAATGAAATTTGTGTGTTGGTAAGCACTTTCTGAATGCTTTGTTAATTAAGGTAGCACCATAAAAGCACAGATTTTAAGTGTGCCCGCTAGGTAGGTAAGGGTAGTAAGATCAATTTGGATAACTTTTTAATATATAGTAATCAAAGTCTTAAAGTTTATAGAACACTGTTATTGCTTATGTATGTGTATGTTATACAGTGTAAAAATTAGAAGCTGAAAGGAATAACTGCATCATTTTGTATGCTCTTTTTATAAAAACTGTTTTATTTTAGAAAATTATTGAAAATTAGTATATCTGTTTAACCTATTTTTGCAGCCTGACTAGGTGACTAATAGTGGAGGGCTGGTTGGTTTTAGTGTTATGGAGAAAGAGGTTGCAGCTGGAAGCGATAGTGTTATATAAAAAAGTAGTTTAGTAATGATTACGGTGAGAAATACTACATCTTAGGGGTTGGATGTTTCCTGTGGAGGATTTCCTTTAGTCTCGAACCTGAGATGAGGCTTGTGTAAGGAGGTTGGACTGTAGCCTTCCCTTTTATCCTTAGTCATCAGATTCAGGAGTGACTTGTGTTAATTGTTGGCCATTTTCTTTGGAAACTGAGAAAGAAGTAGGTGGTCATTGAAGAGTTTAGTTCCTGGACAGCCAGACTGCAGGTCTAAACTGGAGAAAGTCGTGGGAGAGTGGGCATGAAGAAGAATTTAAATTCAGTTGTTTGAGCTGAGCTGGTTGTGCTGATGGGGTCTCCCTGGGGAATGAGAGGAAGGAAACCTGTTCTGTTTGGTTTTGCTCTCCCCCCCCCCGCTAGCTTTATGCAAATCTCATTGTTTTATTAAAATACTAGACACACTGAGAAAGCTTGTTGTGGGAATCTTTTCCTGCACATGATGCATGCTTTTCTTTTTTAGCTTGCTGCAAGCATAAAAGGAATGCTTTTGTGGGAGTGATGAGTAGAAAGATGAAGCTTAGACGGGAATGGCTGCATTACTGTTCAGCTATAGCATTCACATCTGTGAACACTAGTATCTAAATGTTATTCCTTTGATCGTGAAGGAGGCAGTTGCATCAAACTTTCTTAATTTTGTAGTGTAGTGTCCTCTTTGATATGGGTAAATACTTTGAGGTTGTAAATGTTTTATTAGTGCACTTTGCTTTCAAAACAGTTTTTCATGAACCTGTTTTGAATTGAAAAACTACAGTTCTGAGAAGTATTGCCAAATGAATGTTGCTAATTAGAAGGTATTGGAAAGGTGAAGTAATACATTCAGCTAAGTTCAAATACAGATTTAAAATACTCTTCATATTCTGGGTTATGGGAGTGAACTTCTCCGTAAAGCAAGCTTGGCACAGCTTGAAAAGTAGCTGCTTCTGTGTGCCACCTCATTGCCCTTCCTCGGGTTTGGGGTACAGGTTGTATCTTTAGGACTCTACTGAATCCTCAAGAAGAGAAGGGCTATGTAACACACCCTTTGTATGTTTTCTCCAATTTGCAAGGACTCCCAGCATACTAACTGGAATGTAAAATAGGTCCCCAGATGTTTTGTTCTATCTTGATGGGTTAAAGGGAAGAAGAAATGATGAAGGCTTTTGCTCTTAATGCTCTCAATAAGACATTCTGCTGAACTGTGCAGCTCGGGTAGGGGACATCCTGACTTTGTGAAATAAAAGACTTTAGATCCAAATTTTAAATGTGCATTAACTTCCCAAAAGAGTGAAATTATTGCACCTCTCAGGGCTCAAGCATTTACAGATCCTTAAGTTGTGAGAGGGTTTTTTGTGGGGTATGATACAGAGCTAGTTACCTATTATATATGATTGTGCTGGGGAATAAACCGTGGCCATTTTACAAACAGCCTTGGCAGAAGCCACAGTGAGGGGCAATCCATAGATTTTTCTCCAATAGAGAAGAAGAGAGATCACACAGTCTTAAAAGATTTTATTCTATGAATCTTCATTACTTAACTCCCCAGGCCTTATATTAAACGGTGCTTTTTTCCCCCGTAACTTTAAGAACAAAAAAATGAGTGGTTTTGGTTTTGTATTCTTTTAAGTCCAAGTCTTTGCTTTTCCAGCTGCTGAGCTGTTTGGAGTTCCTTGAATTATGGGAATGTTAGCTGATGATTTAGGAAATTAATTTCATATTGGTGACTAACCTGTTAACATTAGTGAGTTCTTACAGAATTTACTGTATTGGCAGTTGTGTTTCTAAATCAAGAGGTGAGTGGGTGGAGTGAGAACTAGGCACTTAGATCTTAATGCACTGAGGAGTTCTGATAGTTTTTGTTTAACAAGGGTGGGGTTTTCTGTGGTTTACCTGTTTATAAATGGTTTATTCATTTGCTTTCCAACTCTTGACATATGCTCTGTTTAGATTGTGGATAGTTTGTTCAGAGGAATAAGGAACTCCTTATTACTGTGATGTGTAGTCATATTCTAAAGCCAACATCATTTGCCTTAATGCTGTTGGAAATAAGAGTTCTATTTAATGCTGTAATCCTCTTTAAATGCAACGTGTCTTGTTGTTTTAACATAAAACTGTTTAAAACTAGAAGAGATTTTTTTCTTTCTCTGTCTTCTTTTTTTAGAGCTTGAGAATCTAAGTGATGCTCCATTTTCCGGTGATGAAGAAAATGGTGGGTCTGAGGAACGGAAGACTGAAATCAATGGAAATTGGATTCCTGCAACTTCAATTACTGAAGCCAAAATAAATGCTAAAGCAAAGAGACGGTTGAGGAAAAATTCTTCTAGAGATTCTGGGAGAGGAGACTCTGTGAGTGACAATGGAGAGACACTGAAGACTGGAGTTGTTGTACCAACGAGCCCAAAGGGGAAACTCCTGGACAGGCGATCCCGGTCTGGAAAGGGAAGGGGTCTACCAAAGAAAGGTTGGTGTAGCTTAGTGAAGAGAGTAGCATGATAAAGATTCTGCCCAAAACATTGTAATGCTATTTCTACTGGGAATCGTTTTCATAAGCCACAGTCTCTGTGCAGGCATTTAGTTCTTTATGTTAGATAGTAGGTGGCAATAGGAGCTAATAGGAGGTGGCATTCTTATCAGGAAATTTTATGTGCGTATCATCAATTAACTTCTGTCTTTAAGGTAAGTACCTTTTCTTAGCAAATTTAATACACAAATTTGAACTGTTGGTGGTTCACAGGACTGTTAATAATGCAAACTTAAAGCACGGTTATTTGAATGTACAGTTTCAACCTTCAGTAATTCTTGTGCAGTTTCATACTGCTTCTAGTATCTTACTGGAAAGTGATGAAAAGACTGGTTGCTAAAGCAGGAACGTGTTGTACAAACACACCCTTTTCAGCATATATTGCTAGTCAGGAGGTGGGCACAAGCAGTGATACTCTTAAGTGAAAGAATGTTGGGTTGAACTTGAAAGTATTCTGTGTAAACTGGTGGTCCTTGCTTACTATCCCATGTTTTGCCAGGTGGAGCAGGTGGTAAAGGAGTTTGGGGAACACCAGGTCAAGTGTATGATGTGGAAGAAGTAGATATTAAGGATCCAAATTACGATGATGACCAGGTAAGCAAACAATCTCTTTGCAGTGTTGGTTTTTATTTCCTTCATTGATTTCAATTGCCATGATGCTTATATTAATGAAAGTTTGACCTTTGTGAGTTACGTGAATGTCAGCCTGGCGTACTAAATGCTCATTTTTATGTTCAGGAATGGACTATTGGCTAGCTAAAGACAACTGGTGTAGAATTGTCGCAGTCTTAACACTTACAAATCTTATCCCACGAGCTCTCTTTCTGTGCCTGACTAGGCAGCACCCTTTTCCCAGGTGTGTTCTTTCGCTGCTGGTGCTCATGGAGGTGGATGTTGCAATGCTGCTCTGTATTGCAAATGGGTACGGTGTTACAAACGCAACACAGATGTTTTCAAGTTGGGAGTTTAATCTGGGACAGTATCGTTTTTTAGATTTTTCTCTTCCCTGTATTCCTAATCCTCCCAATGTATTGTATGTACTTGGTATAAACACTTCAAACTAGTGCAAAGTGGATAGCCTGGATATTTTGTTTGCATGTATTTATTTAGGGTATGTTGTGGCAGATTGTACCTTACCGCCATACTATCAAAGGTGGGGCAAAAAAAAGTACAAGCTCATTGGGCAAAGGGCAATTTATAACGTTAAATTGCTGAGGAAAGGAAACACTGATTACAGATTACTGAAGTCTCTGAGATCGATACAATTGTGAGACCGTAAGTAAATTCTGTATTACATAAGCAGAGTGATAGTGGTGTCCTTTGAGCAGAGGCTGTTTGTTGTAGCCATAGCTGCTGAGAGGATGGTTCCTGGTAATACCAAAGCCGCCTTCCAGTATCAATTTTTTCCTTGCAATTCAACACTTTACATTAGCAGAGATATCTATTAAAGATGAAGCTGATGAGTGCATAAAAGCAAGTTTAATGAAGAATGAATATTCCATGGAACTTCAGTATGCTTAGCTTTTCTAAGGTTGAAAACTGAGACTGATGTGATGAAGGGTAGGCTTTGGGACTTCTGCTATACTTCTTGATCACAGAAAGCTTCTTTTCAATAAGCCTTAGTTAGAAGACTTCTTTGTTCAGATTTCTGTGATCTGAGTGTTACTTCTGTAGTCCATGAGGGATAGGGAGCTGAATTACGGTGGGGAGACCTGTTGTGCTGGAACTCTGCAGGACCAGGTTATACAGGAGGCAGTTGCTATGTGATTCTTTTTTCCCCCTTAGGGAATGTCTTAGCTCACAAACATTCTGAAAATGCCTTTTCTCTAATTTGTACATGCTATTGCCTGTCTGGTCCCACAGTCACTAAGGAAGAGGGGAAAACAGGCAGGCTTGCTGTCAGGGACTGGAGTGCCACTTGCAGGGAAAGATGCTGAAAGCTAAATCTTGTGCTGTGGCACAGCTAACTCTGCTGGGCTGGGACAGGAGTTTCTGTTGCTCTCCCATCTGTACATAGGCACTTGATCTCTGCTCATCTGGTATCAGCAGAATCCTAGGAACAGACTTTGGAGTGTTTACCATCGTTTAACAGTAAATTCAGCCTTTCAGTTGACTTCAGCTAACAGTAAACTCAAAATAAAAGCAGCATGACGTTTAGCCAGCATTGTCCACACTTCAGTGGTAGAGACATAATCTGATGTTTTCTGGCAGAATACTGACTACCAAGACTAAAGCATTAAGGATTTAGAAGATAGATTTTGATGCTGTTAGCACTGCATAAGATGTAAGAAGAGGCAGTACTGTTTACAAAAAGGTATATGCTTTTGTTGTTGTATTTTGAAATAGGAGAACTGCGTCTATGAAACAGTAGTTTTACCTCTGGATGAAAGAGCATTTGAAAAAACTTTAACTCCAATCATACAGGAATATTTTGAACATGGAGATACTAACGAAGTTTCGGTATGTCGCATACCTTTTCACTACTTTATTTTAGGGGGCAAACCTGTAGCACACAAGGGAATCCAACTGCTAGCTATAAATGAGTATATAGAGATGCTGGCAAGAAATGTGCAGTAAGAATACCCGAGCAGTTATATTCATTACATGAGCAGAAGCATATATATAAATATAAGCACATGAGTATTTTTATATTTGTAAAATATAATATATATTTATATAATAAGAATTATGACATTTTAATCTGTTTGTTTTTCAAATCTTGTTTAGGAGATGCTGAAGGATTTAAACCTTGGTGAAATGAAATACAGTGTGCCGGTGCTGGCTGTTTCCTTGGCATTAGAGGGGAAAGCTAGTCACAGGGAAATGACATCTAAGCTTATCTCTGACCTTTGCGGGACGGTAGTAAGCAAAACTGATGTGGAAAAATCGTTTGATAGACTGCTTAAGGAGCTACCTGAATTGGTGTTGGATTCTCCTAGGGCGCCACAGGTATATTTGTAAAGTTTTATGCTAGTAGTCAAAAGCTTTTTCTTCTAAATTGTGGTTAAAATTGATCAAGTAAACTGAAATGGACTGTATTTTGAAAAATACCCATGGATTTTACTGTCTGTAATCCCTACCAATTTCCCAGCCCTTTGAGATGGCTCATTTAAATAAAATCTGAAAACCAAGCGTGTTATAATTGTCTACTTAAAACTACTTTGAAATTCACATTTAATTAAAAATGCTTCTGTTTTGTTGCAGTTGGTGGGCCAGTTTATTGCTAGAGCTGTTGGAGATGGGATTCTAAGCAATACCTACATAGATGGCTACAAAGGCACTGTGGATTGCGTCCAAGCTCGGTAACTTTCTTGCTTTCTATACAGTTTTCTGTTCCAAATGCCAATGATGATGATCAGGAATTTAGGACTTCAGGATAAATCATATGGTTCTCTGTAACTTCTTATTTTTTAATTTAAAATGATAAAGAAACCCACAAAGTCTGCAATGACAACAGCAACAAAATCCAGAATGACTCAAGTCAGAGGAGAAATACTGAAAGTGCCTGAAAAAGTATTAATACATTTGAGTTTGGTTTGTCAGGTTTGTTGTCCAGCTTATGTTTTGAGGGTGGAAAAAAAAAATGAGCTGAAACAAGAAGCAATTATAGAAGGTTTTGCCTTTAGAAAAAGCTTTAATGACTAAATATAGCATTGGGACAGCTGCTGTAAATATGTTGTGAAATACACAAGGGATTAACTGTTTTGCCTTATAAAGGTTTGAAGCTTGTGCAGTGCTTTCCCAGAGTTTCTCTGTAATGTTTTATTCATCAAGAAGTAGAACTGTTTTCCACGTCAGGTGAGAAGTTTGAAGGAACAATCTCTTGACAAAGAGGGACATTTTAATAACTAGTGACGTTTTATTATTTTTCCCCTATAAGTGTATGTTTCAGGCTTGATAGGAGGTGCTAAACTCTTGTAGTTTCTAAAAGCTCCGTTTGTAATGATTGGGTACTTACAGAAGGCAGGCAAATGCTTAGCTGCCTAACTTGGTTCAAATTATGAAAATTCTGTCAGTTATACAAATGTCTCCTGTGGTTTGAAAGATTGTAGCCTGCAATACTGCACATCTGGGATGCTTTGCTGCCTTTGCTATTTCTTGGCCAGTCTTCTCTGCTCGTTAAGTCTTGGTGAATAGAGTTACTGTTATTGGCTAGCCCCCCATATGAGGATTGGGATAACTGTTCCTCCTTTAGCTGGATGATGCTTAATTGGATCTGAGACTTCTTTTTTTTTTTCCCCTTACTTCCTTTTTCATTCTTTTCTCAATGACCTGGCAAGCTTCCCTAGTTGACGCCATCTTTTTGCAAGTACATATTTGCCTTCTGAAGTGTTTTGGCTAAAATTCTCAAGGTTTGATAAATCTTCAGATGCAAATGGAAAATAATAATTCAGTAGACAAGCTGTTCTTCAGTGCGGAAGCAACTCAAGCCTCTTTTGTTTGAGATAGACATGCCAAGCTGCATTTTTGGAGGAGCCCGGATACAGTCCATCTTGGCATAAGAAAACACTAAGTTTGTTCTTGTGAGGATGCTTCGGGTTCTGCATTGATGATTCAGATCTGTCCCAAGCATGGTATAACCTAAAGTGTAAAGGTGGCAGAAGGAGAAGGTGGGGAAGCTTGCTGGCTTCTTGATCCGGATGTCCCCATGGAGTTGCTAACCCTGACCTCTTCCCAGGGATCTGGTCACTTTGCCTGAAGAGGAATGGCAGTGAGGGAAGTTACAGATGCCTTTTAATGAAGTTCTGTAATAACTTTTTAAAATACTAACTTTGCTTTCTAGAGCTGCGCTGGACCGGGCTACTGTGTTGCTGAGTATGACAAAGGGTGGAAAGCGTATAGACAACGTGTGGGGGTCAGGAGGTGGCCAGCAGTCTGTGAAGCACCTTGTTAAAGAGGTAACTGACTTCTACAAAGGTCGTCTTCTCTCTAAGCTTATGTAGTTTGGGATGGAGGGAAGAAATACGTATATCCTGTATCAAAATAATGTCTTGTGTGGGTTTTTTTTATATAATATATACATAAAGTAGTTTTTAAAAACTGATGTAGATAATTTTGTTGATTTTGTAGTATTTGTCAGTGGTGGGAATATGATAGTACAATATTCTGTATTGCAAGTATAAGTTTATTTTTGCTTTAAGCAAAACTTCTAAGCACTTAGCTTTTTAAGAGCTTACAATATAAACTGGTGCAGTAGTTAGAATAGCCAAGATGAAACTGGCTAACCTAGATAAACTGTTATTATTTTTGGCATCACTGATTAAAAGGACAGTAATAACTGAAAAAAGAGAGAGGAATAAACAGGAATGTTTAGAGATCTGTGCTATGAAGTAGGCAGGTTTAAAGGAAAAGGTCATGCTATAATTTCTAAGCTGTGAGTGTAACAGGTGACAGAAGGAGGAGTTCAGGGGAGAAGATAAACGTAATTGTACCCATATTGATTTTTTATGGTGATACGCATCTTAGAAAGCAGTGGTTTGGGTGCTTGTGTGTATTAACGCTATAGACAGGTATTTGGCTTGCACTGTGTTTCAGGTCGCTGATAACGTCTCAATTTAATTAACATTTATAAAAACACTAGCAGCAAGTTTCAGGAACTAACTTGCTGCTGGGTTGATCACAGATTATCAAAACAGTTGACAGCTTTTAAATTTTATAACTAATTAGTGTTGGGCTTTTTGTTTGTTTTAAAATTCAATAGATTGATATGTTGCTGAAAGAGTATTTGCTTTCCGGAGACGTACTGGAAGCTGAACGTTGCCTTCAGGAACTGGAAGTACCCCACTTTCACCATGAACTTGTGTATGAAGTAAGGAGAAATCAAGAGTCCCTTTATTGTCAGTAATGCCAACAGGTTTGGTTTTGTTTTGATGTGGGCATGCAAATAACACAACTGGAATCTGAAGCTCAAGTTGCAAGTTCTGATGTTACTTGAATAACTAAATTGTTTCATGTAAAGTTAATGGTTTGTGTGCTTGTTTGTGCACAACGTGCAACAAGTAAGCAGCTGCTAACTCTGAGAAGGTCCAGAATTAAGTTTTGTTTCTTGGGTAAATACCTGAATTCAGATTATTACAGATTCCTGAGAAAGCAGAGCTCAATTTATTTTCTGCTGAGGAATAGCAGCAAAAAAACATGCTTTGTTTTGGTGTTTATTTCCTTTTAGTTTCAGGCTTCTGTGTATTCTAGTGGGTGTTACCTGTTTTTGTTAAGTTATAGAGCTTCCTTTTCAGGGTGGAATTGTTCCATCTAGCACATTTGTAATAGCTCTGAGATACTTCAGAACCAAACTGTGAGAGAAAAATCATCTTTGCTGTAGTGGGGGGTGTTCCCATTTGTACTCTTTTTATCTGCCAAATTGGGAAATGGTTGTTTACCAATAAATCTGAACACCCACCATCTAAAAAAATTTCAGTAAATGGACTCCTTTTAGAAAATTCCTTCAAGCTAGAAAACCAGAATCCTTTTAGTTGATGGGGGTTGTCGAGATTTGTAGATTTTAAACTTCTAAGTTCTTCTGAAATCACAGATACAAAATAATGACAGATACAAAATTAATTGCCATCTGCACTGCAGCAACCATATGGATATAACCATGTCTCTCTCAAACCAGAGCCAGAAAGGCAATGCTTTTCACTCTGTCTAGTCCTTTCTATTTTTTCATACCTTTTATCCTTATCCAAATAACTTTTCATCAGTTGTTCTTTTCAAATAATAGTAACATACTGAAGTTGTGAGTGCACGTAAGAAATAGACTTGTCTCCCCAGAAAACACATCATAATGCATTCACTCCTTTTCACACCTCATATGCTTACACAACATGTGCTTGAACCTCTGTTTTCTTTTTAATTAAAGCACTTGCATGATTTGTTTTTAGGCCATTGTGATGGTTTTGGAGTCAACTGGAGAAAAGACCTTTAAAATGATACTGGATTTGCTGAAGTCTCTCTGGAGGTCTTCTGTCATTACTGTGGACCAAATGAAAAGAGTAAGTGTGGCATTTAGAGAATTTTGGGTAAGGTCTTCCAAAATTTGTATAGTTTCTACCTTCTTTTAAGTACTATTTGTAGTCTGTTGCTGACTGCTACTCTTCCTTTAAATTCTCCATGGTCATTCTGTATCCCATACAAATGATCTCTGATGTGTGTATAAGGTTTGTCATGTACTGGAAGAAGTACAAATGCATTCCGAGCAGCAGTTCTCTGTACAAAATACTTGAAGGTACAGGTATTTGAAGGTATAGGTGCGAGGTACAGAATATTTGAATCTTCAAAGATTTCCAACTGTTTTTATGCAATTAAATGGTTAAAACTAATAATATAAAATGCTGCAATATGGCTTCATTTTTCTTAAATATAGTTTTTCTTTTTATGCAGTAGTTCTTCATAATTGAAGAGCAGTAAGAAGCCACTTAATTACAAGTGTCAATTAGAACAGTATATAGCAGCTAGTATCTTATACAGTTGGGATCATCCATGGCTTTGCTTCTAGGTACGAATGTTGGACAGCTCTTCTGTCCCAGGGCAAACTGGGTACCACATAAAGACTTGTGTCAACATTTACCCAGCCATACTGCTGGTGGGAAGTGATGAAGTCACCTCTGGTTGTCACCAGTGTTTCCCTTACTGCATAAACTGTGTTGGTGGAGATTTGTGGCCGCGTTTTGTTCATTTACATGGAAGAATAATTAAGTTTTCTTCCTTTTGTTACTACCCATGCGATAGCAGCCAGGCTAACATGCACACTCTGTACTGTCTGGATTTCTGGCTTCTGAAGAAGTTAAAAATTCAGCTGGTGTTTTGATGTGGATTGGTGGTTGTGTAATACCATGGTATTGGCTGGTGTTACACCTTGCTTTTCCACTGATGTGCAGCTGCTCTGCTTTGGGTTTGTTGAAGCTGCCCATAGTATACATGAAACCATACTGAAAAATAAATCCTCTGAGTGCAAAAGGGTATTTAAAAAAAAAAAAGTAATAGAATAACCAGATCATTATTTGAATTCTTACATTGCAGGGTTATGAAAGAGTTTACTCTGAGATCCCAGATATTAACCTGGATGTGCCACACTCCTATTCTGTGCTTGAGCGGTTTGTAGAGGAATGCTTTCAGGCTGGAATAGTCTCCAAACCACTGAGAGACCTCTGTCCTTCAAGGTACTGTTGCATGGTTGCTAGGTGAAGGCACTGCATTTTGTCCCCGCTGTAGGTAACAGAAAGCAGGGTCTTATGACCAGAGCATTACAGATTGGAACTGGAAGCTATGGAGGATGAAGGAACAGAGGGTTTGACTGGTAAAAAGATTACTAAGAAGTTGCACTGATGTGAAACCTGTTACGTGGAGGCTGGGATAAATACTGGAGGAAAGTAAGCCTCCGGCGAGTCCCAGGCAGCACAGCATGCCTGTGTGCTCTGCAGAGGGTGAAGGCCTGCCTCTCCTCTCTTTTCCCGATTTGCTTGTTAGAGATCAGTGCAGTACTGAGATGGGAGATTCAGGCATCACAATGATCCATGTAGGTGACAGTGGGGAGGGGGGGAAAAAAAAATTGCTTAAAAATGGTTTAAGCATACCAAAGGGCATGAAGACGAGACAGCCAATTACAACATTTATGTGTTAAGTTCTACACACCTGATCCCTTTGTATCTGTCTGTCATGTGGTTTATATACTGCTTTTGGTTTGTTACTGTTTATTCACAGCATAAATAATGCTGTTTGAACTGCAGCTGATCAGTATTCTGTTCTCGCCTTACTGGTCGCAATACAATTAATAAGTTTCATTTCCTGTGGGGAATATGTGCAAATTTTTAAATATGTTAAAACTATTACTCACAATTCTATGCATTGGGAATACTATTAATTAGACAGATCTTTCCCAGTTTGGGTGTTTTATTAGGCTGCTTAAACCATCTTGACAGCTTGTGATGAATTTGGATTTTGAAATGTTAAGTGTCTTTATCAGAAACAGCCTCCATTTGTGGACTTGAGACTTAAAACTGGGTTTGCGTGTATCTTGGTATCAAATGCTTTGCAGGTTTGGGGTGTGGGAGGGTTGAAGTCATCACTGCCACAAAAGCTTCATTATACTTCTGTTACCATTAATATGTTGAGAGGCATTTTGGGCTTACATACTTCAGTTTTGGGTAGAAAATCACCATTCCTAGGCTTTCAAACTAGGATCTTTTACAAGTGTGAACATTAAAAGGTGAGCAAAGTAGAAAGCACTTGAGAATGCAAGTTTTGAAAAGCTTCTTGCAAATAAACCTGGATGGAAGGTTCAGATGGGTTTTAAGCAATTTATCAGCAATCAAGAACGTCAGCTGATCTTGCTGAACTTGCACACCTTGTATTTGACTCCCAAGACCAAGAGAAGATCCTTCTCAGCGATAAGTAAGAAAAAACAAGCGGTGCTGCTTTGAATTACTGAAGCGATAACTTTCTACTTTCTACTTACAGGGGCAGAAAGCGTTTTGTGAGTGAAGGAGATGGAGGTCGTCTTAAGCTGGAAAGCTACTGACTGTGAGAGCCAGCTCCTGAAGCCTTAAAAGTTTAAAGGGAAAAATAGATAAGATACCTATATATATACAAACACGCATGCTTTTTTGTTGTGTGTATGTATATATGTATACACATATATGCCAAGATTTTAAAAGTTGCTTAGCACAGTTCGTATTTTTTTAAAAGCACATGTTTTGGGTACAAATCTTTTTTTTTTAAATAGTTTTATAAATTTCAGAAATAAAACTTTCTTTGGGCATATAGTAGAACCAACTGGCCACTCTGCTGTGGTGGTGCCTTCAAATAAGCTATATTTTTAAGTGCCATATGTTATGACCTAATCATTCCATGTTTGCATCGGTGTCTTGACTGCCGCTCTTTCTTTCAAGGACAGTGTTGTCATCATAAAATCACTGGTTTATACAAAGCTTTATAGAAGGGTCAAGTTAAGCTGCTATGATCCCATTTCCATTGCTGCTGAAGAAATACTGTGCTTTGGGAGGAAAAATAGCTGTTTCTTTGTTTTAAAGAGCCCAAGAAAATGGAGTTGGGTCATAAGATTAATTCAGCTGTTCCAGGGGAGAACACTGGTTGGTTTTAGCCCCCATGTACCAAACTTTTTTTTTTTTCTCTATGTAACTGGAAAAGTGAAAAATTCTGATAAAACATAGTAAAAATATTTTTTTGTGAAACTCTCCCTTCTGCCTCTTTTTTTTTTTTTTTAAAAAAAAAGAAATAGAACTAATTTAACTATGTTCCCTGAAGGCTCCGTCGGACGGGTGGGGCCGCCTACCTGCGGCCGGGCTCTGTCCCTGGCGGGGCGGGCCAGCCTGCAGACGCAGCGAGAGCGGGATTTCTACAGAAACACGCCAGACCGGGAGCCGCCCGCGCTCGCCGCCAGCTTTAATCCGCACGCTCCGTTACAAAGCGGGTACCTCGGGGGGCGCGGGGCGCC